GCTAGAAAGTATGCATATACAGTAGAATCTGTACGAGCAGCCACTCCCATTCAGTGACATCTTCTTGTAAGCGGTCACAATAAATTCCCCCTCGTAGAAATTCTATTGTTTCATCTCTTTAATCAACGGCCACTCCTCGAACGCGGCCAGCAGTCACTATTTTATTAATAAATTTAGCAAAATAGCGCTTATTCAACGACCATTGTTAAATGATACCATCTTGTCGTACTTCGTACCACCTCCACTAATCCTGTGATTAATAGTTAATTATCTACTCCCCCGCCAATCAGATAAAACGAACTGTGAAAATAACAATAAACCTGGCATTACCTGTTAATTAATCTTTTGTTTTATTAAATGAACACGTATTGAAACATTATTAGATACTGACTGATTGAATAAACTAATACTATTGAGAGGTCACTCCCGTTAAGCGGCCAGTCATGACAATTCCCTTGAGTGGCTGCTTAAAACAGATTAATGTAGTTTACTTTCAAAACATTGTTCGATAATTGATAAAAATCGTTTAAGAATTACAAAGATAGCTTGCCAGGCAACGAAACACGAAACATACGCCCACAGCAGCTAAGTCGTCCGAGCAGTCAACAAGAGTTGTCGCATATTTTTTCTATTGTCGGTAATGAAACATTTATAATACACTAAAATCTTATCAAGAGTAACAACTCATTAAGTAATTATAAGAAAATAATTAGAATTTGTTGTGCTTTTAGTTCTGCCCCATGCTAACATTTAATATACGAAACATTTAATATCATGGATTTAGCTGTTCAAGTTATCAAAATTCATTGAAAATCAATATACTTGTTCATCTCAAGACCCTTAAGCTCTGTTGACCAATCTAAAGTCAACCGGAGAGAGAGAGAGAAATGAGGTTTAACGTCCACTTGACACAAACTAGGTCATTTTGGGACTAACATATGGTTTAATTTTATTTCAATAATTTGCTTGCGCGTAGGGGTCTTTAGCAGTGGGAGGAAACCGGAAGACCTGGAGAAAACCCACGTGATTGGACAGGCGACTCTACTCCTTGTCACGTACAACCAGAGATTTGAAACCACGCCAGTTGACTCAATGACACGCTTTATGATACAACACGCACGTGCTAACCATTCGTCCATCCAACCCCCCTAAAGTCAATCGGATGATAACTTTGGTTTCTAGAGCATTCACAAGATTATTCAAAGTGATCAAGGTCCATAACTCTGGTAGTAATTATCTGAAATCATTAACAATCACTGGGCTTCTTCGTCTCACGACCTTAAACACTGTGTATAAATCTGAAGTCAATCGGATATATATGCTTATTAAGTTTAGGAGCGTCCATAAGATATTTCAAAGTGATCAAGGGCCATAACTCTGGGAGTAATTATCGGATATCAATGAAAATCAAAAAAATTCTTTGTATAAATATAAAGTCAATCAGATATTAACTTTTGCCTCTAGAGCGTCCAGAAGATTTTTCAAAGTGATCAAGGGTCATAAATCTGGTAGTAATTATCGGAAATCATTGAAAATCACTGGGCTTTTTCGTCTCACAACCTTAAACACAGTGTATAAATTTAAAGTAAATCGGATATTAACTTTAGCCGCTAGAGCGTCCGCAAGATATTTCAAAGAGGTCAAGGGCCATAACTCTGACAGTAATTATTGGAAATCGTTGACAATCAATAGGAATCTTTCATCTCATGACCTTAAACACTGTGTATAAATCTAAAGTCAATCGGCTATTAACTTTACCCTTTAGAGCGTCCACAAAGATTTTTCAAAGAGATCAAGGGCCATAACTCTTGCAGTAATTATTGGAAATCGTTGAGAATCAATAGGCTTCTTCGTCTTATGACATTAAACACTGTGTATAAATCTAAAGTCAATCGAATATTAACTTTAGCCTCTAGAGCGTCCATAAGATATTTCAAAGTGATCAAGGGCCATAACTATGGCAGTAATTATCGGATATCGTTAAAAAAATCACTGGGCTTCTTCATCTTGTGACCTTAAATACTGTGTATAAATTTAAAGTCAATTGGATATTAACTTTAGCCTCTAGAGCATCCACAAGATATTTCAAAGTGATCAAGGGCTACAACTTTGACAGTAATTATGGGAAATCGCTGAAAATCAATAGATTTCATCATCTCACTCATCTTAACAACATAATCAATTTCGAAACAATCAGATGATAAATGTAGTCTGTAGAGTGTTCATAATCAATGGTTGAAGGGCCAAGCCATAGTTATTGTTTTATTAATTAATGAAAATACAACTGCTGTGTTGTGAAACTCGTCTTTTAACTACGATTATCATATTAGTCATTAATCTCTTCTTAATCTATATCCCCATACACATTGATTACAGAAAGGGCCTGTGCATACAATACAAGGCATTGTGAGCTATTCACTATTTGGTCCGCCGACTGTTATTTTAAATATACAGTGAAGTCATAAATGTCCGTTATTACAGTATAGATTAATTATTTGATTGGTCGAATGCTATTGTTTTATTAATACCCACCTGTGATCACATGTCTGGGTGCCATATGAAACCATGTTTTTGAATACACATGTCCGTTATTACAGTATGGATTAATTCTTTGATTGGTCGAATGCTATTGTTTTATCACTTCCCACCTGCATTATTTGTGATAAATCACCTTTGATTTAATGCAATATGATTTGATTTAACTATAACAAAAATCGTTGTACTGCAGTCAATACTTGATTGCCATCAATCAAGTATTTACGTAACATGAAGGCAGTAGTCATTGAAGCATATTTTCTGTTGATACTGTTTGAACTCATTTCCTGTCTGAAAATGGGCGACAGCTTGTCTATAGAGATTGACAGATATTGGCTTTTTAGCGCCAGTGCAAAAAGTCTCAAGAGATTATCGCCCTGCCATATTACATTGGAAGGTTCACTTCTGGTGACATGTACAAGTGGAAGACTACGTTAATTCACTTGTGATTTAAAGAAGATACATTATACCTGGGATGTGATTTACCGATTTTCAATTGTATAATTACCTAGGAAGTGATTTATCAATTTTTGATGTATTTGCCAATGGTGGAATTACTATTTTTAATGGATAATGGATAATAATACTTACGACTTTATTCGTACTTCATATGTAAGTAATTGTAATCAAAATGAACCGATTGGATAAAAGGCTCGCGGGAAATTAAAAGGTTCATCTAATAGTTCAACACAATAGATAAATTAACTGCGTGTTGATTTTTCAACGTATCTCGGGAAAGTAAACGGCTCGTCTAATAAGTAAATGGCTCGTCTAATAAGTAAATGCCGTAGATAAGTGAACGGGTTGTCCATTTATAAACGCCTGTCAGAGAAACTAAACCCATTACCATTAAATTAAGCCATAGTACTAACTAAACCATTTTCGTAATTTTTAAAGGACAATATTAGTGTCAGTCATTATCACATATGTGATAGAACTAATTAAACACGTTCCAAATATAATTTTAACACAGAGATCATTGCTACGATAGCTGAGTAATACAGGTTTCCTGAATCGGAAGTGACGAATGCCAAAGGAAAACACGAGTCATACCTCTATATAACTGACTGATGTGACGAGTGATAACAGATACATAGCCGAATTTCTGCTCACTAATAATTCCTTCCAAGACCAAAAGTCGTTGTGTGAGACGATATCTGACAATTCATAAAAAGAATTGACCGCCACTAGATAAGAGAACACGAAAAAAACCCAGAAAAAGTCTGTGCATTACCATGTTTTTATAAGGTACAGAATGAATATAAACAAGGGAATGTGCGGACTATTTCTATTTTTCTCGTGTTCTCTTATCTAATGACATTCAATTACTTTATTGAATTGTCAGTTATCGTCTTACAGTCCCATATAACGACTTTTGGTCTTGGAAGGAATTATTAGTGAGCAGAAATTCAGCTATGTATCTGTTATCACTCGTCACATCAGTCAGTTATATAGAGGTATGACTCGTGTTTTCCTTTGGCCACTTCCGATTCAGGAAACCTGTATTACTTAGCTATCGTAGCAATGATCTCTGTGTTAAAATTATATTTGGAATGTGTTTAACCAGCTCTATCACATATGTGATAATGACTGGCACCAATATTGTCCTTTAAACGATTTTTATCAATTATCGAACGATGTTTTGAAAGTAAACTATATGCATACTTTCTAGCGCCAAAAACCCGTTCTAAACGATACCAGTCTTCTAGTGTAATACACACCTACAACAAGTTTGAACATTCTAGCTCAATTAGGAGAGTTATTGCGTTCCAAAGTCTCGGCCAATCAAATTGCTTATCGCTCTGCTTACCCTGAGCAGAAAATGCTCATTATTGAACTTAGTCAAGGCATTGACCTAATAAACACCCACACCAAGTTTTAACATTTTAGCTCAATTAGAAAGAGTTATTGTGGACCAAAAAGTGTGACAGACAGACAGACGGATAGACAGACAGGCGGGCGAACCCATTTTAATAGTGCCCAGTTTTCTTCGAAAGGCGGCGGACAATAAAGGCCTGATTATCAAGTACTAACAATCTCTGTCTTGAAGCATAACAGTTATCTGGTTCATCACATCGTTGTCTTGTTAGACTATTGACGGGTATCTGTGTAGGGGAGTATACCGCGAACAACTGTGCTTCTTACAGTTTGAGGTCTATTGTTATTATTTTCCGAAATTTACGACCACAAATTTTTGCCCTTGATAGCCATTTCTAGGGCTTACGACAGCAATTGTCTCAATGGATGTCAAGAATTTGAAGCGATGCATTTTAGTGTGGGTGTATAATGAAAATTGCCAGCTATGAGTGTTATCGGTTATTCCAGAATGAATAAGTATACCCTGTAGCATGTACAATGTCAGTAACTACTGATAGACCAAGATTTAAAAGTTACAATGTCTGCATGTTTTTCAGAATAGGTCAGTAATACATGATTTAATGAATATGAAAAACATTCCAACTTACAACATTTTCTTAACGCTCTGTGGATATTAAATAATATGTCTGTAGCCTCACGTTTCTGATCAATCTAGAAACAAAAATCGTTGTTACTTTGTGTTACCATCATTACAGCCATGTTTTATTTCAATTCAATTCTTGATATAAAATGAATACATTTGTATGGAAAATTCAAAATACATCAGTACTACGTTTTTTATTAAAAAGAAACATCAAATATTTCTTACAATTTTATTAGACACCATGAGACAGAGATCCATATCACTTCTAGTATTACCAAAACCATTCATAGAAGATCCCACAATATATAAACCACAGTCTAAAATATATTTCAATATAATATTATGCTTTAATTCTAATATTCAACCAGCGGCTGACAGGCAGGATACGCCCACATTTTCGAGAGATGGATAGAGAACAAGCTAACAAGAAAGTGATTTTTCCTACTATCAAGGGGAATAATTCAGGAAATTACAATTCAATATGCACGAATATCGAAAGGAACTGAGATCTTTGTGTTATAAACTTACATTTCAAGTTTCAACAAAATCGGATAAAAATTGTGACCTCTATAGGGTCCACAACCCTGATATACCATATTTTTACGCTATCTGAGAACAAATGGCGGACATTTTGTCTGTCAATTTTGGGTTGATTTTCACAAAATTCGAATTCAGTCGTCCTTAGGGTGTAACAGTGATATAATAATACAGTTTTTTAAATTGGATAAAAATTATGACCTCTATAGGGTCCACAAGCTAAAAACGTGATTTTTCGTACAATCAGGGGCCATAATTCAGGAAGTTATGGTCCAATATGCGCGAATATCGAAAGGAACTGAGATCTTTTGGTTATAAACTAACATTTCAAGTTTCAACAAAATCGGATAAAAATTTTGACGTCTATAGGGTCCACGACCTTGATATACCATACTTTTACGCTATTTGAGAACGAATGGCGGCCATTTTGTCTGTCAATTTTGGGCCGATTTTCACAAAATTGGAACTCAGCCATCCTTAGGATGTAACGGTGATATAATATTTAAATCGGATAAAAATTATGACCTCTATAGGGTCCACAAGCTAAAAATGCGATTTTTCGTACAATCAGGGGCCATAATTCAGGAAGTTATGGTCCCATATGCGCGAATATCGAAAGGAACCGAGATCTTTGGGTTATAAACTTACATTTCAAGTTTCAACAAAATCGGATAAAAATTGTGACCTCTATAGGGTCCACAACCTTGATATACCATATTTTTACCCTATAGGGTCCACTAGCTAAAACCGCGATTTTTCGTACAATCAGGGGCCTAATTCAGGAAGTTATGGTCCGATATGTGCGAATATCGAAAGGAACCAAGATCTTTGGGTTATAAACATACATTTTGAGTTTCAACAAAATCGGATAAAAATTGTGACCTCTATAGGGTCCACAACCTTGATTTACCATATTTTTACGCTATTTGAGAACGAACGGAGGTCATTTTGTCTGTTAATTTTGAGCCGATTGTCAAGAAATTCGACCTCAGCTGTCCTTAGGGCGTAACGGTGATATAATAATATGTTTTTTTAAATCGGATAAAAATTATGACCTCTATAGGGTCCACAAGCTAAAAACGTGATTTTTCGTACAATCAGGGGCCATAATTCAGGAAGTTACGGTACGATATACGCGAATATTAAAAGGAACCGAGATCTTTGGGTTATAAACTTACATTTCAAGTTTCAACAAAATCGGATAAAAATTGTGACCTCTATAGGGTCCACAACCTTGATATTTTTACGCTATTTGAGAACGAACGGCGTCCATTTTGTCTGTCAGTTTTGGCCCGATTTTCACGAAATTCGAACTCAACCACCCTTAGGGTGTAACGGTGATATAATAATACGTTTTTTTAAATCGGATAAAAATTATGACTTCTATAGGGTCTACAAGTTAAAAACGCGATTTTTCGTACAATCAGGAGCCATAATTCAGGAAGTGATGGTCCGATATGCGCGAATATCGAAAGGAACCGAGATCTTTGTGTTATAAACTTACATTTCAAGTTTCAACAAAATCGGATAAAAATTGTGACCTCTATAGGGTCCACAAGCTAAAAACGTGATTTTTCGTACAAACAGGGGCCATAATCCATGAAGTTTCGATCCGATACATGCCAATATCGAAAGCAGCAAAGATCTTTTGGAGATAAACCTATATTTCAAGTTCCCGGACGGACAGGGGCGACGGCATAATACGTCCACATGAAAATGTGGGCGTATAAAAATTTTACAAGGATTCAAAATCATGGTCAATTCTAAATACGAGGGTTAGCTGAAAAGGATAGATAAACTGGGTTGAAACTTGAAACGAACTTTTGCCACCAACAAGTACAATCATTGAATGAATCATAGACATAAGAACTGCAACTGTAGTGTTATTATTGTCTTAGTACCAGACTATCTTGTGAATATATCTACCCATTGAAATACCCATTGATAATTTTATGGACCAATTTGGCCCCACAAAACCTTCAACCTCTTTCCCAACCAGCGGCTGCCAGGCAGGATACACCCACATTTTGCAAGAGATGGATAGAGAACAGGCTAAACAAAAAGCGATTTTTTCGTACAATCAAGGGCCATAATTCAGGAAGTTACGATCTGATATGTGATAATATCAACAGGAACCAAGATCTTTGGATTATAAAGATATATTTCAAGTTTCATCAAAATCGGATCAACATTGTGACTTCTAGAGGGTCCACAACCTTGATATACCATATATTTAATTATTTACACTATTTGCGTATGAGGGGCGGCCATTTTGTCCACCAGTTTTGGTCCGATTTTCACGAAATTCTAACTCAGCCGTCATTAGGGTGTAACGGTGAAATATTCAAACGTTTTTTTCAATCAGATAAAAATTGTTACCTCTAGAGTGACCACAAGCTAAAAACGTCGTGAATTGTGATCAATGGCCATAATTCTGGAAGTTATGATCCGATATGTGCGAATTTTGAAAGTACACAAAATCTTTGGGTTTTAAAAATGTATTTCAAGTTTCATCAAAATCGGATCAAAATTATGACTTCTAGAGGGTCCAAAACCTATATACACCAGATTTTTACACTATCTGCGTATGAGGGGCGGCCATTTTGTCCGGCAGTTTTGACCCGATTTTGATGGAATTGGAACTCAAGCATCATTACAGTGTAACGGTGATATATTCAAACATTTTTTTAAATCAGATAATAATTGTGACCTCTAGAGGGACCACAAGCTAAATACGCGATTTTTCGTACAATCAAGGGACATAATTCAGGAATTTACGATCCGATATGCGCAAATATTGGAAGGAACCAAGATCTTTGGGTTATAAACATGAATTTTAAGTTTCATCAAAATCAAATGAGAATTGTGACCTCTAGAGTGTCCCAGAAGCTAAATCATCAAAATCGAATAAAAATTGTGACCTGTAGAGTGTCCACAAATGAATTGTGGACTGCCAGACGGATGGACAGGGGCGACAACAATATACGTTCACACGAAAATGTGGGCGTATAAAAATGAACTAGCTGGTCGTCATCTTCCTAGTATAGTAATGATGTCACTAATGAATGACTTTTTAAGGGTGGCTGAAGATAATTTCTTCCTGACTGGCATTCAGGGGTTGCAACACCGTTGACAAAGTGTGTATACCTCGAAGGGTAGGCTTAGAACTTTTCAACCAGCCCTCGCAACATGAAAAGAATCTTATTATATTCGTAAAATACATCACATTTCAGATACTGAGATAATTTATGTTCTGGGATTGTTATTTTTTTTTAAAACTTACATGGAAATACACCTTGTAATACAGCATACAGACATTTTCTTAATAATATTTTCTTTTGATATACTTCCTCTGACTGTTGATTTTGTAAAAAGTAACGCCATATAGAATTGGTAACCTACAGATAAAGTTTAAGAGATAGGTTTATCATTTTAGTGAATATTTCAAACTTATAAAAATGTAATCACCAATTTGACAATGACAACTATTCTTTTATTGACAAACTTATGTAGGATCCCAGTCACACCTATATCAGCCTTCTACAAGTGATGCCTGTATTAACATATTTCAGATTTGAACAAATAATACTAATACCTAGCATGTATGGAAGAGGTCATAAACTGCGGTTGCAGGAACAATTATTTTTATTTTTTCAAAAACACATTTTTTTTTAGCCCCATAAAATGTTTTTTGCCCAAAAATCAATTTCTTGCAAAGGCAGTTTATCACCTGTCTGGTAGTGGTCATTCATAATTCCTGTGGTGGTACTGAACAACTCCAAAGCTCTTTTAGGTGGTACAGATTTCAGCTAATATAGCCTAGCTGTGGTCTGGAAATTAGATAACTCTTGTCAGGGATATTCCACCACTACAAATGTCTGGCAATTTAGCTGTTAGGGTTACCCCACTACTAGAAATGTCTGTCAGAGTGTTTTTGTAATACTTGAAAATGTAAGGTACACTGCTGTACGATTTTCATGTGGTACACCTTTGAGCTAATATAGCCCAAGAAATCACTCCCAGAATCACCAACCACACACACCATCAGAAACCTGGCCGACTTACATTCTAATGATACCAGGCATTGATACTATATAGGTGAAAATTAGTACAAATTTCAGCGTAATTCAACAAGTTAGATGTTACTATTTGATATTCTGACAATGTAACATCTAACATCCGAACAGTCAAAAGCTCGTCGCAAAAGTTGATAACTAGTTAAGAGTGTATCCGCGAGAAGACCATGCAAAAATCGCAAAAAGTGCTAAGATGGGGGCTCGAAAGTTTTTGATCAAACTTATGGTATGACACCCCTTAGGGGCAAGAGGTAACATGCTGAAGTGGTTACAGGCTGATGTCGCTCTAAAGGACTGTACAGGAATTATTCATTTTATGGGTAAAATTGCGGTTTTCACATGTGTATTTATCACCTTTTTTAAGCACAGACTGCATACTATGGTGGAATAGCAACCTTCTAATTTTGACGCTGTCTGATAAAGCGGGTGGTCAACTTCTACCCCGGCACTAATTTGAAAAAAAAAATCAGTACATACTAATTTTGTGTGGACTTGTTTTAGGGTACCATATTCACATTGTCCTTATAGTGCAGAAAAAGATACACTGTAACTTTTTCTTTCATGGTCGCAAGTAGAATTTCTTTGGATGGTTTTGAAGTGCTAAGCACATAGTATCCATAAGTGTAAAAAAAATGACCGGAATGCAACATACTTAAAATATACAGCTTATTGAAAAGCGCGAAAAAAAAGCTTTTGTGATACATTTTTTTGCAAAATTAATCAGAGAAATAAAATTTTTGACTTTTATACGTTTTCATCATATCCATAGCCATTATTTGTACCATGTTGTACTCTATATAAGTGTGTATTTGTATTTATTGTATATTTGGTATTGTCGTATTGTCCCTTTAACATATTTGTTGTATTGTCTCTTTAAGATTTCATTTTCAAACAAGTTACCGAAAATGGCTACAAAATGTTTAATTTCAGAGCATGTTTCCACTATTCATTTTGGGACACATCCACTGATTTCTACAATACAGAAATGTGGAAGCTTAAATATTAACGGCAACGAAGCCTAATTGCGTCGAAGTGGGTGACATTGAACAGTGTAGTATGGTAGCTACAGCTCTCGGGCACCGTCAGCTGCACCTTCAGGGCCGGGTTTAGAATAAGAGAGGCCCTAGGCAAACCCCCTGAACAGGGCCCACGACATGGACCTTGGGGCCCTGGGACAAGCAACTCGGTGAGAGGGTGGGTCTGGGGAAGTCATGCGGTTGGTGGTTCGAATCTCACTTTTAGGTGAATTTTTCATTTTCGTTGGATTATTTTATTTAAAATAATGTCTATTTGAGAGTAATGGATATGTTTGTTAAGATTGAGCACGTCGAAACTCCAATGGAAGGTCGTGGACAACTGCAGAAGTCAATTCCCGTTGACGCCAGATGAGCCATGAACGATTACAGGCCTTTGAAAGTATTTTTTTTCAAGATATTTTTATAAAACAGATACTAATGTATTTTAGGGCTGGTAGTAAACACCATATGAATGAAAAGGAAAATAAATTGTTAGTTTTTTTTTATCTACTACGGTTAATTATCTCCAAAATAGGGAAATTACAGGTTAATTTCATGGGTTATTGTTTCCTTTACCTAGTTTTTGTCAAGTCGATTCCGGTCATTTTTATTTTTTGTATCAAATGTTGGGAGGTTGCTTGTTCACGTGAGCATAAATATTTTAAACCCACCCCATGAAAGAAGTAGCTATAGAGCGTCAAATTTGGGTGACGAAAAATGGGGAATTTAGACAGGCTTTGATATCCAGTCCGTATACAGATCTCGTTCGCCAGAATCGTCTGAAGTTAATATTGTGGTAACAGCACTGGGTCATCGATAAACTGTGTGAGTTTGGTCTAAAAACGTGATTTTTCGTACAATTAAGGGCCATAATTCAGGAAGTTACGTTCCGATATGCGCGAATATCGAAAGGAACCGAGATCTTTGGGTTATAAACTTACATTCCAAGTTTTATCAAAATAGGATTAAAATTGTGACGTCTATATGGTCCACAACCTTGATATACCATATTTTTACGCTATTTGAGAACGAAGGATGGCCATTTTGTCTGTCCGTTTTGGGCTGATTTTCACGAGATTCGAACTCAGCCGTCCTTAGGGTGTAGTGGTGATATAATAATACGTTTTTTTAAATCTGATAAAAATTATGACCTCTATAGGGTCTACAAGCTAAAAACGCGATTTTTCGTACAATCAGGGGCCATAATTCAGGACATTACGGTCCAATATGCGCGAATATCGAAAGGAACCACGATATTTGGGTTATAAACTTACATTTTAAGAATCAACAAAATCGGATAAAAATTGTGACCTCTATAAGGTCCACAACCTAGGTCCACAACCTTGATATACCATATTTTTATGACATTTTGTCTGTCAGTTTTGGGTCGATTTTCACGAAATTCGAACTCGGCCGCCCTTAGGGTGTAACGGTGATATAATAATACGTTTTTTTAAATCAGATAAAAATTATGACCTCTATAGGGTCCACAAGATAAAAATACAATTTTTTGTACAATCAGCGGCCATAATTCAGGAAGTTACGGTCCGATGTGCGCGAATATCGAAAGGAAACAAGATCTTTGGGATATAAACTTACATTTCAAGTTTCAACAAAATCGGATAAAAATTGTGACCTCTATAGGGTCCACAACCTTGATATACCATATTTTTACGATATTTGAGAACAAACGGCGGCCATTTTGTCTGTCAGTTTTGTGCCGATTTTCACGAAATTCGAACTCAGCCATCCTTAGGGTTTAACGGTAATATAATAATACGGTTTTTTAAATCGGATAAAAATTATGACCTCTATATGGTCCACAAGCTAAAAACACGATTTTTCGTACAATCAGGGGCCATAAGTCAGGAAGTTACGGTCCGATATGCGTGAATATTGAAAGGAACCGAGATCTTTGGGTAATAATCATACATTTCAAGTTTAAACTAAATCGGATAAAAATTGTGACCTCTACAGTGTTCACAAGCTAAAAACGTGATTTTACGTACAATGAGGGGCCATAATCCATGAAGTTACAGTCCGATACATGCCAATATCGAAAGGAACCGAGATCTTAGGGTGATTAACCTATATTTCAAGTTTCATTGAAATCGGATAAAAATTGTGACCTGTAGACTGTTCACAAACAATTGTGGACGGACGGACGTCCAGACAGACGGACGGACAGGGGCGACGACAATATACGTCCACATGAAAATGTGGGCGTATAAAAATCTTTTTTGCTGTCTATTGTAAGAGATTTCACAAAAATCTTCATTGAACCAACAACACACATTTAAACAGGAAATGACCTACATTGGCAAAAGCTGAAATCTGGCAAGATGCACATTACGAACAGAATTCTTTAAACAAAACAAAATCAAGAGACTATATAATTTGAAGGCGATCATTTTAATTTATTTTTAGTGGTGGTTGATTCCTTTCGATATTCGCGCATATCGGATTGTATCTTCCTGAATTATGGCCCTTGAATGTACAAAAAGTCACGTTTTTAGCTTGCGGTCCATGTAGAGGTCACAATTTTTATCTGATTTAATAAAAACTTGTGAATATATCACCATTACACACAAAGATCAAGGGTTCCTTGTGTAGGGTGACCCACCATAAATAAATATCTCCATATATCTCGACAATTACGCCACAATATTTATATATATGCCAAGCCTCAAATCAGTTTCACACAATTATAGTCACTAAATAAACGATCATTTTGTACTTAATAAGCTATGACCATTAATCATGTATAATAAATAGACTGAAAACTGGTTCCAAGAGTCGTCCATAACATCCAGACACTTTTGAGTAAAAGATAGGTTACGTGCCCTTGTTTTGTAATTAGCCTCGCTTAACCAGTCTATCGACCATTCTACGTCTGATTGACAGGTCGGCATAATCAAGACTACTTTTTTACGAAACATAACAGAAAGCTAGAACAAGAAATTGAATTTAGAAATAAGCATGTTAGGTAGCTCAACAATCGTTTTAAGAAGCTTGTAAAAGTTAAATGAAACTACTGCTAGTATCATGTTCCTGTCTAACCCGAGTGATTCAGAGATATTATTTGTACTAAACCAAAAAATGCCGCTCTTAACGGTACAGTTAATGATAAAGCAATTTAAAAAATGAAACGAATGTAATTTCTAAATCTGCTGTAATAACCAAGAAGCTTAATTTTACTGCTATTCAAAATCGTCAACAATAAATTTTTTACGGCTGTAATAGTTGATAGATTTGTAGAGAATTGCACGTGCCATGGCTATTTATAGTATCATACTGTCAGTAAGT